GGATCCCCGGGCGGCGGCAGCGGGAGAGCCGGCGGCAGGTGGGTGAGGTAGGTGGGAAGGAAGGAAGGTGAGCGGGGCGGCCGCGGTAAGATGGCGGCGCTCGTCAGCTCGGTTCCCTCCCGCCCTGCCCAGGCAGCGCCCGACCCCCGCCATGAAGCTCATCATTCTGGAGCCGTACGCGAAGGCCAGCGAGTGGGCCGCCAAGTACATCCGCAACCGCATCGTCCATTTCGGACCCGGACCCGGGCGCTTCTTCACGTTGGGGTTGCCCACAGGTGGGTGCCGGGACCGGGAGCGGGGCCGGCGCCGGGGTGGCCCTTCCCCGGGGCTGAGGCGGCGGCTTCCCCGCAGGCAGCACGCCGCTGGGCTGCTACAGGAAACTGGTGGAGTACTGCCGGAACGGGGACCTCTCCTTCAAGTACGTGAAGACCTTCAACATGGACGAGTACGTGGGTGAGTGCCCGCGGGCAAGAAGCACTTGGCTTTCGTGATCTGTTTTGCTGTACGTCCTCTCCCTCCCCGTGGCTGGTTAGCGAGGCAGGGCCGCCAGCCCGCCGGAGGGGCCGATGTCAGTGCGTGGTGGGCGCAGAAAATCCCACCTGCCAGCGATTCGAGGTAGGAGGGATAAAATTTGCTTTAGCCAAGGGAGTTAACAGGCACAGTTTGAAAACCTGTACAAGAAGTACTGAAGGGTGTCAGGTGTTGCCTGGCATTCTACACGCTAGGCGCTGCCGTATTTTACTTGAACTTGGGTATTGACCAGCTCTTCCATCTTACCACTGCAAGCCGAGGTAGTGTGCAGTATTAACTACCACCTTTGCTCTGGGAGTAAAACGGTCACTTCAGATTCAGGTCTCTTACAAGGACTGATGTGTTACCTGCCCAAGTGCCCTTCGTAACTGACCTGCTCTCCTGTTAAGACAGCAGAGGACTGTTTATGAAGCTGTGATGAAATAGCCTCTTCGGAAGAAAGAGTACAGAGAGATTAGTGGGCAAGCCTAAAGCTCCAAAGGTGGAAAACAGACAGGCTAAATATTTGCTAATGCTAATTTTACACTGGTCAAGAATTTTTTCTGTGAACAATCCTAATCAAGCAGCATTTGGGAATAGGCAGTCTGGTGTGGGTTTACAGCATTCAAAGGGGGAAAAAATGTATGCAATAAGTTATTTCCCAGGCTTCTGCACAGTTTGCTAATGGTCTTTGCGAATACAAACTGGCAGGAAGGCTGAAAAGGTAGTAAAACATGAGGCACAGTGCACGCCTGCTTTTCTGGCACATCCATCACATGTTCATATGAGCACATCTTATGGGAGCTATCGTGTTTGATTTTAATTTTGCTATTTAGGGAAATAAAAACAACTTATGAAACTTGAGGGAGTCACAAATGACAGACAGAAAAAGCAGTGCTCTGTTACCAAAACCACTGCAAGGGTGTGTAGGTGGTTTATGTTATGGGTGATATTCTTTCAGGTGGTCTTAGTCCCGTGCATGCTCTGTTACCAGGTCTCCCAAGGGATCACCCGGAAAGTTACCATTCCTTCATGTGGAATAACTTCTTTAAGCATATTGACATCCCGGCAGAAAACGTTCACATTTTGGATGGAAATGCACCTGATCTACAGGCAGAGTGTGACGCATTTGAGGATAAAATCAAAGCAGCTGGAGGAATTGAACTCTTTGTTGGAGGTGAAAACCTGAAGGACTAGCAGTCTCTAAACACTGGCAGGAAGCACTGCCTTTCCTCTACCAGCTATCTATCTCATTTATTGTCAGGAGAGTTCATCTTCAATACAGTTCAGTGGATTTGCAGTGAAAGGCACCCCACATTCCATTGACCTGGGCGCTCATGTGTTGGCAGCCTTGTCTTCCAATGTACTGCTCCCCCAGTTTTAAGTATTTCAATCCAGTTGGTGAATTGTTCAAGAAACTATTAGCATGAGAAACAGGCAGGGCTAGAATTGTACCAAATACAGAATGTATTACAACTGCCAGGGCTAACAGGAAACTGCTAGGAGTAGTCAGAGTCCTCTGAGCCAAAAGGAGCTCAACGCAAGCTTTTCCCATCAGTTTGCCTTAAGATTCTGCCATCTACTTTGCTTTATTGTTCTCCCAGCACAGTTAGAGAAGAGTCTCTGTTGGCTTCAGTGGGGGCTTTTGCTATCATTCTGTGGTGGGTTGACCCTGGCTGGACACCAGGTGCCCACCAAAGCCGCTCTATCACTCCCCTCTGCAGATGGACAGGGGAGAGAAAATATAACAAAAGGCTTCTAAGTCGAGATAAGGACAGGGAGAGATCACTCACCAATGACCATCACGGGCAAAACAGACTCAACTTTGGGAAAATTAATTTATTACCAATCAAATCAGAGTAGGATAAAACCAAATCTTAAAACACCTTCCCCCCACCCCTCCCTTCTTCCCAGGTTCAACTCCACTCCCAGTTTTCTCCACCTCCTCCCAGCCAAGCAGCGCAGGGGGACTGGGGTTGGGGTCAGTTCATCACACATTGTCTCTGCTGCTCCTTCCTCCTTAGGGGGAGGACTCCTCACTCGTCCCCTGCTCCAGTGTGGGTCCCTTCCCCAGGCTGCAGTCCTTCAGGCACAGACTGCTCCAGCATGGGTCCCCCATGGCATCACAAGTCCTGCCAGCAAACCTGCTCCAGTGTGGGCTCCTCTTTCCATGGGGCCACAGGTCCTGCCAGGAGCCTGCTCCAGCGTGGGCTTTCCCATGCAGTTACAGCCATCTTTGGAGGCATCCCACTGCTCTGCCGTGGGGTCCTCCCCGGGCTGCAGGTGGATATCTGCTCCACCGTGGGCCTCCCTGGGCTGCAGGGGCACAGCCTGCCTTACTGTGGTCTTCATCACGGGCTGCAGGGGAATCTCTGCTCCGGTGCCTGGAGCACCTCCTCCCCTCCTTCTTCACTGACCTGGGGGTCTGCAGGGCTGTTTCTCTTACATGTTCTCACTCCTCTCTCCGGCTGCAGTTTCTGTTGCGCAGCAACTTTTCCCCCTTCTTAAATATGTTATCACAGAGGCGCTACCACCGTCGCTGATGAGCTCGGCCTTGGCCAGCGGTGGGTCCGACTTGGAGCTGGCTGGCCTTGGCTCTGTCAGACATAGGGGAAGCTTCTAGCAGCTTCTCACAGAAGCCACCCCTGTAGCCCCTCTGCTACCAAAACCTTGCCATGCAGGCCCACTCCTACCAGAAGCAAATTTGAGCTTGAGCAGAAAAATTGCAAGTGTTTTTGTCAGATCTGCATCTGTTCCTGGAAGCACTGAATGTCCTTCTAATAGGAGTGCTGTTGGCTCTGCTTCCTACAATAACCATTCCAGCCACTGACCCTCTTCTGAAACTCTCTCTGTCACAGGTATTGGCCCAGACGGTCACATTGCTTTCAACGAGCCTGGATCAAGTTTGGTATCCAGGACGCGAGTGAAGACCTTGGCTATGGACACTACATTGGCTAACGCCAGGTTCTTTGATGGCGACCTCTCCAAAGTCCCCACAATGGCTTTGACAGTGGGAGTAGGCACTGTCATGGATGCCAGAGAGGTTAGGAGAAAAGCAGTGAGTTCATACAGGAGCTCTTGAGCAGGGCTTCCTGGAGTAGCTAAAGATTACCCAGTCTTGGAGCAGCAATGCACCCTGCTGGTCTAGGTCAGCTTATGCTTTTCCTGCCACAGACCGCTGAATACCTACCTGATCCTCCTGTTCTTTTGCATCCTGCAACACTATGGAAAGGCTCTTGCTTTGTCTTCCATTTTTGCTCTACTAACACCACTTATATTTGTGTAACCCTGCAGTACAGTTGTGATCCACAGGGAGCAAGAAAGGTTTGGGAGGATGTCTTTAGTTAAGAATCTCACCTGGGGAAATAACTGCAAGAATCAGCAGTTGACTTGATGCTACAGCAGCAGATCGTGAAAACTCTATGGGATAGCTTTTAATTGAGTCTATACCTTGATTTATACTTCTTAAGTCTCAGCATACAGGTGCCTAACAGGGGAGCTCAAAGGATCTGAATCATTACAGTGACCCACCAGGCTATGATTTAATTGACAAATAAAATGCAGCCAGAGCAGAATTGTGATACAGTGAAATGCCTCTGGGGAGGATGATAGACATTGTCCCCTGTTGGGAACCAGGGCAGCTCTCTTAGTTCAGCAGGATGTGGGTGTGCTCTCTCTGAATGTGTCTTCTCGACCCTAACTGCCATCCTCTGTGTCTTGGAGTCCAGGTGATGATTCTTATCACAGGAGCCCACAAAGCCTTTGCTTTGTACAAAGCCATTGAGGAAGGTGTCAACCACATGTGGACAGTATCTGCTTTCCAGCAACACCCCAACACTGTGTTTGTGTGTGATGAGGATGCCACGCTGGAACTCAAAGTTAAGACGGTGAAATACTTTAAAGGTGAGTGTTTGACCAGGCCAAGCAGCTGTTGTACTTAGTTTTTAAATAGCACAAGCCATACTTTGCATTAGATGTTTCTGTCTAATCAACTCCCAAAGGAGTACATTCCTTAAATATAACAGCTGAAGTGTACAAGTGCAAAGGTAAAGGCTTAACTGCATGGGTATGGGAGCAAAGGAACAAGGACTCTAGTGATGTCTAATTTCATTAGCAACCAATGAATAAGAATTTTGCTTTATTATATCTACTTAAGTCGTCTTTTTACTTTCTACATTAGGTTTAATGCTGGTTCACAATAGGCTTGTGGAACCCTTATACAGCATGAAGGAGACGGGAGCAGAAAGAAGTCAGTCTAAGAAGCCATACAGTGATTAATCTCACTGTTCAGAGTAATGCTGAACCAGCTTTTCTGTTGAAAACCATCTGTGAAGAGAGGGAATTGCTGCAGAAATTAATCTCATATTTGTTCTTAAATTAGCAAAATGATTATGTGCTTGCTTCTCTCCATTAAAAAGACAGATGCAACACCTGCCTTAATTAACCAAACGAGGATGGGATCCAGTACACTGCGTTCCACAAACTTCCGCCACTAGTTTATTCTCTGAAGGTAAAGTCAATGGAGAGTGAGCTGTTTAATCTATGAAGCAATTGTAATGATGGGGACTGAAGGCCCCGAAACTTAAATGTGAAGATATGTGAAAGTACAACACTGCAGAAACTAAATGGGTAATCACTCTGGGATGTATGCCTTGCATTTATGACAAGTACCTCTTCGTGTTACTCCCCTCCACAATACACTCCTACATTATAGTAATTTAAAATGGGAACCGAGTTTGTTCAGCCTGGAGACGGGAAACCTTCAGCATGACCTAATAGCAGCACGCTTCACAACTACAAGGAGGTCATCAGGAAGATGAAGCCAGGCTCTCCTGCGCAGTGTGTGGGCAGAAGATGAGAAGAGATGATGGGGCTTGAGTTGAGACAAGATGCTCAGACTGGATATAAGAAAAAAACTTACCCATGAGGACAGTCAAGCAGTGGGGCAGGTTCCCCAGAGAGGCTGTGCAGTCTCTGTCCTTAAGAGGTTTTCAAGACCTGACTGGATAAAGCCTTGGCTGAACCCTGCTTTGAGCCAGATGTTGGACTTGAGACCATCTCAGCAAAAGGGAGGCTACAGAGAGCATTCATCAGTGCTGTATTAATAATGCAGTACCATTAATGCAGTTAATGGTTAGTTTACACATCTATATGCTTTTATTTGTTGTCACACAAGAAGCCTTACATGTTCAGTTTCAGGGTATAATTTTATATGCCCTGGTGCTTTATGATGTACTACAGGAGAGTAGATTTGTTCAGATTAAGCATAAATTACTTCCCTCTCTGCTGCTCAGCACTCTCTTATTTGTGTCAGAGCAGAGCCTGAAGCAGTAACTTCTCTCCCCCTCCTTCCCATGCTTTACACTGCTACAAGGAAATGCCAAATAAGCCTCAAAGGAAACAGTCTGTTCCCTCTGGCCTCAGCCTATGTTTAATTACAGAAGCCCCACACAGGTGGGCAACAGCCTGTACTGGCAAGACCCCACCAATTCTGAAACTTGATTCCTGGGTTTCCTATCAAATGCTATCAATTGAGGGGCAAGACAAACTGGGCAGCATTAATTTTCTTTATGCAGAAATTTTATAAGCTGTTGATCTGTAATGTAACTTTCTACAGTAAATGTCTTAATTTTTTCTAAATGGTCACACCAACTGTATCTGGTGCTCAGCCTCACTGTGCTAGGGAAATGGAACAGTTTATGAGGCTGAACGGCACTCGTAATACCGTCTTTGAGCAGAACAACAAAACCGTCAAAGCATGAGAAAGTCCTGTTATTTTGCACAAGATTTCTCTGTCACCTAGAACCAAAGCTGTATCAAAAGCTGTTTGGTAGAAATAGCTACTGCTGCTCCCTAGTTCAAGAGCTTCCTCATCTTGTAATTGCTGGCAGGTTTCCACCAAACACCTGCTACAGTTCTGTCCTGCCAGGCAGCAGCCATTTCATAAAAAAAAACCAGAGGGGATCTTTAAAGGAAAACTGAGGAGGTCACAGTTATTTACCTTTTACCACAAAATGTCTGCAAATAATCTAATGCTCATTCTGTGCATGCACAGTAATGGAGCAAGTAAGGAGGTCTGCAAGAGAGAAAAAATAAAAAATAAAAAATGAGGAAGAAACACTGTGCCACATTACCGGAGTTGCCTGCCTTGCTCTCTGTTGGCGAAGCCAGATTCTGGTTTTAACTGTCCCTCCTCTGCAACACCAGGATGGTCCTACGACTGCAGTCACCTCCTTGTCCCCTCCTCAGAGAGTCTTTCCTCCTCTGCCTCACTGCAGAATATGGGAGCTCCAGCCCAGGGGTCCCCGAGTGCTTAGAATTCACAGACACGGTGGTGACTACATCACCATTCCTCCCTTCTGCACACAAAGTTCTTGAAAGCAGAGGTAGTTCATCACAACACCTTCAAATACTTCACCATAGCGCTTGTGCTCTGGTAGCTCTGGCAGACATCCCCAGCCGTGGCTTTTCATCCCAACATACCCTTGGGGTCCAGGCCCTGCCCTCAGCCCACCTCTGTCCTGCCAGAAGGGACCTGCCCAGCGTCCTGTAGGTTTAAGAGATCCAACACCCCCTCCTCTATCCAGGCACAAAAACAGGTTTTAAGCACACGCTTCTTGTCACAAACGTTCCCCATCTGCCCACGTATGCAGCTTAGCGGGAAGAAAGCCCCTTCCAAAAGCCGGCAGCTTTTGGACTCGGCCTGTAGAGTTAAAAATTGTGGCCAGAGCGGAAACTCCTGTGGGGATTGCAGCTCAAAGCTGGCTACATCCAATGCAGCGATCTCAGAGTAGTGTCATGATAGCCACCGTCTATCAGTTAGGGGCTTGTATCTCCGAGGGAAAACCAGGGCTCTTTGGGTGTGAGGGCACTTCACATACACAAATGACATAAAATTCTGTCAGCAGAACACATCCTGTGCCAGTTTCACTCGAGAGTTTTGCGAGAGTCCTGGTCTGTTCTATGTCATTCTACAGGTGACCACGCGAGCAAGCGCCTCGGCCCCGTGGCACGCAAGCGCTGGAGGCGATCGCCACCCAGACACAGAACAAAACTGTCCCACGCACTGACCTGTGCTGCCATATACATGCCATAATGAAGACAAACAGGGAGACAACTATGGTTACTGTCTTAAAGTGAATTTAGTGCATGTGAAAGGTGCAGGAAGTAAATACAGTTTAAATCGTACACAGTGGAACCCTTCCCTACACGCTGTCCTATAGCCTAAACCAAGACAAAAGATCCGCCCTTGCCATCTCGTATCTTTTTAATCATTGCCAATTCTAATAGTACAGACTTCCATCCTCTGTGAAAGCAACTAAATCAGCACTCATTTTGGCCAGATATCCAAGTATAAATTTATTTACTAACAGGCAAAACTGAGTGAGAGGTGTTCACCTTGAGTTTCTGAAGTCTTCCAGCTCCTGAGCTATCCATCCGGACCCTGCTATTTGTTTTGAACACAGCACATGCAGTTTTAACTTCAAAATAAATTTTTAGACCATTCTGCAAGTGGAAAAACTTCTAAAAAATTAGTGGTTCCCTCCAGTAATTACTTTCATGCTCACAAAACTGCTTACTGAGCTTTTAGGGGAAAGAAGTTGGGTTTTGAAATAATTTGAAGTGCAAGAACAGTGGAAATAAGAAATCTAGTCCAGAAGCAAAACTATCAACTACTCAGATTTCTTATATGAAGAGTTAGTAAAAAATAAATTCATCATCTGAGAAAACAAGGTAATTTTCAGTATCTTGAAAAATTCAAGTTAATCTCAACTATGTACCCATAGAAATGTGTTTCAATATCTGACTGATACTTTTCACCCTCTCACCGGCCACATACTCGGTTCATTGCCTTAGCACTCATCACTGTCAAAATAAGGAGAGGCAACGTGAGCAAATACAACAGCGACGCCGAGATGAGTCATCAAACTGATTCAAATTTTTCAAGTTTTCTGCCAAAGCATTCAGTAATGCAAAGACCCAGGCATTACAGCCAGTAAGAAGGGGGTTAGGAATAATTGACTTTGCCATCGTTAGAAAGTATCAGTGACAAAGCAATGAGCCGCTTTTCAGAGAAACAGGTCAGGAAACACTATAGAAGCAACAGGCTCAGCTGCTGAATACAGAAGAAATTTTCTATATTGTATCAGAAAACTTTCCCTGTGCAAGCAGCATCACTAAACAGCTCCAGAAAGAGCACTACAGCTATAATAAAACTGCCATAAACCCAACAATGGATATAAGCCAAGATCCTCGAAAGGTCAGTCTCGCTAAAGGAAACCCCCAAACACTTCTATGATTTGGGGCTTCAGTTTTGTTTGTTTGCTTCTCAAAAAGGGGCACCTCTTAGTACATATTTTTCCAGTAATTTTCCAACTTCTGACGGGTTGTATTTGTCTTTAAAAATCGATAGGATTATTAGGGCCTTCCATGGTGATCCTGAACACAGGATGAGTAAAATGGTCTCCTTTGGTTTTGGCAACAGCCTCTGAAGTGCGAGTATCCTGCAGTGCAAGGTAGTTATTCTTCTATCACATAATGGAAGTGAAAAGCAAACAAACTTGACACAAAAATGGAAAGCATCTATCTCTGGTTTGTTCAGCTTTTGTTGTAGAGGAAGCTACTAGTCTTCATCTTCAACTTCCCGTAACTCACCATCAATATGCATGGCTTGAAACAATCTGCAAGACAGCCAATAATTTACATCAGTATGTAAAAAAAGTAAAATATGTAAAAAAAAAAAAAAAATTCAATCTAAACGTGACCAAAGGTACAAAAGCAGCAAGTTTCAAAATTTTTTTCAGTATCATAAACCACTCGCACTGCAGTCCTCAAAGTCAATTAAAATAAGCTACTCTGCAATTCTACAGCACGTTACACCAGAAGGCTTTACAGTACCTTACAAACGTGATGTCTCAAGGAATTCCTGAAAATATTAATAATCCAAAATGTATTAAAAGTTACCTAGCATGCTGCTGTTCCTAGTTGGTCTTAGGCAGTATATAATCAGCAGCCAAGCCTGCCTGCTCCAAACAGCTTACAACCTAATCAGACAATACAGAGCTGGGCAAACAACTGTAACATATAAACAGGGGAGGAGCAACAGGGAAGAAAAAAAAATTGTTTTTTTATAAAACAGATGAGCTTAGTCAAGATAGGTAGAGGTTAAGCTAAACTAAAAGAAAAAAGAACAGCAGGAGACACCAGAAGAAAAATAGAAACAAGAACAGGGTAGGAAGTGAAAAAAATACTGTTGGGAGAAAAGGGAATGCTGAAAAAGAAGGGCCAAGAACAAGGGGGAAAAAAAAAAAAAAAAAAAGAATCCTGTCAGCCACATCTATTAAAGCAGAATAGACGGTGGAGGATTGAGTAAACTATTGGTATATTGACTTTTGTATCCAGGCACTATATATAACAGCCATAGGCACAACCCAATGGAATACACACAAGATTAAAGGCTGCCGCTATTACACCTCTCCGACCTGCTTGCCCTTTCATTTGTCCCGATGGCAGTGGCATCCTTTGTCTCTTGATATATCCCTAATAGCAATGATGTAAGCCAAGTTTGCAGCTTTTTAGAAGCAGCTTTCTTACCCAAAGCCTTGTGTTGCGCTATCATATACCTGAGCATCTGTAAAGAAACATTTCACTACAGGCTGTCTCTCAATCAGAGGCAGG